AAGGGAAGAGCGTCCGAATTGGTTTTAGTTGTGAAACCCACAACCCTCTTCACAGTTCTGTCTTTTTAAAACAATTACCTGCGCACACAGCAGTACGAAAGACCGATGAAAAGAGTAAAGGTTACTTCAATTGCGTTTGGTCGAATGAAGTCGTCGTTAGCGGCCGGTAAGGCATTCAGTTCCTAACCAGCACACCATGCTGGATGTATTGTGTGAGAGGAATGTCAACGAAAACCAGGTAAACCGGAATGGCCATGGCTGGCTTAACATTCTTCGCTGACCTACTGTGAGGACTCGGGGCTCGAACCCGTTTCCTTCGGTCACTGAACCCAAGTCAAACGATCAACGATTGATTTTACGGATTATGCCTAATAAGTATCGGTAGTGCCACCGAAATTAAGGTGGGCTATCCACCTAAGTACAAAATTAAAAATATTGGCCATTTGGTAGGATTCTACTTTGGGTCCCAGATTAGCACGCGAAAGCCCCATCTTTTTCTAATAAAGAACGGAATGAAATAAAGAGTAAACAATCTGAGCAATATTAAAGAAAGGAAATATAAGTTAAAAAAATAAAGTTTATAAAAGTAGAAAAAATAGGAATACTTATTTAAATACTCTACTGTTTTTCAACAAAAAAGCGTGCCATAATAAAAATGTGCAATTATGCAAATATTGGGAAATAACTAAATTAAAAAATAAACAACTAACAAAGCTACATTAAAGTAAGCTAAACTGACTTTTCTTAAAAAATAATCTAAAGCTTAAATAAAAATAGCAAACATAATAAGGAACTGAAAACTGAACTTAAATATAAATAAGTTAAAAAAGCCAAATAAAATAAACTAATGTAAAGCTGTTACGCATAAAAATCGGAGGTGTGCGAGCGCTTCGCACCACGAACTATATTAATCTAATTCTAGAACGGTAAGTTAGACCTCAGGTAAGTTGAAGTAGGCGACCTCCTAACCGCCAAACTTCTTTTCAGAAATATCAAGAAACCCGATAAACTATAAAGTAAAAATAAGTAAACAATGTCCAAATTTGTCATAACCATTCAACTGTGTTTATATATGGCGCGCTATTTTGCTGCGAAAACATTAGATCATTTAAACAATTTCTGGGACCCAAAGCAGGATTCCGCCGGCCATTTTCATTGCTAATACGTATGTACGTCTGGAAGCTGGTTTGAGTAATACTGATTGGATGTGCGGGGCAACTGAGTGGCGCGGCCGGAGTTTTCCTCAAGAGTGCCGCCACAACTGGCTCGGATCCCAATTGCCACAGAGGCCACACACCGGTTGACTGCGTTGTCCCAGTTATCCTGAGAGTTGGCAAACTTCCAAGTCACGGCTTTATGCGCGCCGTGATAACTGCAAGCGCGTCAGATTGGTTACGGTGAGGAAAATTCGCTGAGCTGCAGAACTGATTTAAAAGCCCTAGTGATACCGCTAAACTACGTACAATGACAATGAAGTGTCCAGAGGGCTTGCTCGATGAGGTTGTGTGCAGAGGTCGGTTTATGCAGCCGACCGTCGCAGAAGCGCGGTGGTGGTGAGTTGGAGGTAAGTAGGTCCTCCAGAAAGGCAGTGAAGGAGACCCAGACACGTGGCAGGGCTAGTGGAAAACGAGCCTCTCCAATATGAGAGACGACGAGGTGAAAGAAGGCCGCAAATTTGAGAAGGATCCCGTTGGAAAATAGGCAACCCAGTGTGTCAGCCAATTCC